TCGCCGCGTTAACCTCATAACCAATGTACCGAACTATTGTTTTCAGAAAGAAACATTTTGAAATGTTAAATAAAAATTCATCTTTCACTAAAATTTCTATAACAATTTCCAACCGTTCTTTGAAACACAGAGAAAGCAATCTTTAATCTAAATGGCATCGATAGAAATTCATTCTTCCGATCAGGTGTAACAAAAGCAGTATTTAATTGTTCCGAGTGCATTGGAATCTAATGATATCCACTAGACATGACAAGAGAAGTGAAATAATTTGCTCCCCAAAGTCTAGCTACTTTATCTGATATCAGAGGTAATGAAATTTTATCAGCTACTGTATTTTTATTTAATTCACGATAATCAACTCAAAGTTTTGCTGAACCATTTATTTTATATTTACAAATAACAAATGGAGATTTACTTGGTCTGATAACTTTATACTCAATTAATTCTCTATTTTTACTAGGTCTGATAACTTTATACTCAATTAATTCTCTATTTTTGCCACGAACTAGCGCCCTCTCACTTGAACCAAATCTATATGGTCGCTTTTGAAGAGTCTTAGTTGATTCAACCAGTCAAATGCAAAGAAATAAAACAAAAACTATACCAAAAACATTGAACCAATATTTGTCTGCCAATGACAATATTTTTTTTTGATTCCACAATTTGGTACTATGTGAAACAAAACTACCAAAGAATTTCCACCAACAATGATATAAATCTTGATTTTCGAAGTACTGTAGTACTGTACTTTCTTTAATTAATGAACACTTAGCTTCCGGATCAAATGTTATTGGAAATCTCTCACCATTAACCAGCATACTCAATTTAGGCTCCTCCATAGTGCACAGCTCCACTCTCTTCCGATTTTACTCCTAATCCGGTATTCTGCACTTTTTTTTGACAATTAGTGGCAATGTGTCCCGGCTCCTGGCATCTGTAACAAGTTACAGTTGGCCTTTCCTGATGAGACTTCCCAGAACGCCGCTCCTTTTCAGTTGACGAGAACTGAAATCCTAGTCCAGATCTGCAGTCTTGCTTTTTATGTCCTGGTTTTCCACACTGATAACATTTTAGATCAGCAGTTTTAGCCCGCTTAGTCTCCGGTTCCCAGTTTGGTGCAATAGGACGCTCCTTCAGTGCAGAAAATACTTGCAGCTCCGCTTGCAGCTCACGTCGATTGCTGATATGCGTTGTGTGTATCATTCGTTGTAAACGCCGGTCGAAATTAGCCATATGCCCAAGAATCAAAGCGATGGAAATTTGTTCACAATTTAAATTACGCAATTTTGTGCACAGTGACGTCACGCTGCGGCTCGCAAAAACAGGCAAGCTCTCACCGTTCCTTGGGCGACTATTTAGAAGATTAAAAATAACAGCGGCTGGCGTCTCTGAAGACTCGAAACGCTGCTCAAATAATTGCCGGAACTGTTGCCAAGTTATTCCTGGGTAGCATATTTGTGACAACCACTGGGCCGCTGTGCCTTCCAAGGCCTTACTCAGCGCTAATATAAGAGCGCTGTCACTTAGCGGTTTCGTTCGTAAAATTATGTCGACCGTAGCGCACCACTGCGTGGCATCCACCCCAGCAATGTCCGGATTATATTTCGGCAAGCAAATCTCGCCAATCTGTTGTACTGTGCTCGCCGGCATCTGTAGTTTCTTAACCAGTTCCAGAAAATTCCGGTTTTGTTGCTCCAACAACGCGAAGACATCCCTTGACAAAGTTTGGTTAGGGCCGAATCCCACTTCTGATGTCGGAGAACTAAATTCATCCCCTTGTAAGTCGTCATTGCTGGTGAATTGATCGTTTGGTTCTTGATTGCCTGAACTTAATTCTGGCAAATGCAGCGAGTCTTCGATGCCTTTGTTGCTCATAATTCTCTCTTAAGGACCAAAACACGTGTCTATCTCACGTCACACTACAAACCAGAAGAAAAAGAGAGACCAGACCTAGCAACGCATACGAAGCCACACTCGGCCTCAGCTCGCAAACTGAGTCCCCATTCTACCAAAACTAATATCTAGTATATCTAGTATACCAGTACAACCCATGGTCATACCTGTCGAAATGCTGCACTACATACTCTCCGACATATACATCATTTTTATTTAGGGGGATACATGGGTTTTATGGTTTCAAAAAATAGAATTTGATTGATTTATTTATCAAAAACTATTATTTTAGTATTAGTATTTATTATTCACTGGGATCAGAGTGGAACTCAATTAGGCCTAGAAGGAGCTTTAGGCTTCAATATTTGGTGCCGCCGACGTGATTGTTGTAAAACTTGCATATTTTAAATATAAGTGAATTGCAAAATTAAAGTTAAAAACTTTATCCCCGCGGTGCCGAAACCGATAGTTTTCTATACGCACACACATAAACGCTTATTGGAAACTTGAGGTTCTCGTTATCTTTTTTGTGCGACACTTCGGTGCTAGTGAACATGCAAGACCACGAGCCAAGTGACATAGAGGAAAACAGGGTGTATTTTTACAAGGCTACGAGGTGGACAGCACAGCAGTTGCGAACGGTATAAGCAACGATTTTGCCTCTATCCTCAACTCTTCACATGGACGGCGTGAGGGATCTTAGACCAAAGTTTCGTGTACCAGAGATTAAACTGCCAACGTTTCGTGGTTGGTATACAGAGTCTGACTTCCACGCATTTTTCAGTACGGTTATTGATCAGGAGCCCCTGTTATCCATATTTGGATGGACCTGCGCTGGATTCCATAAAATCATTGGAAATAGTTGAGGATAATTATGAAATCACAATGAATATATTAAATAGTCGTTTCAACAATAAACGTTTAATATTTCAGGCACATATCGCTAAGGTTTTGAAACCGGAAAAGGTTGAGAATGGTGCTGGTGAGCAGCTGCGTGCTTTTTCCGACAAACTTAATTCTCATATGCGAGCACTTAAATCTCTTGGCACTATGGAGGACATAGCTGGATGTATTGTTTGCAATCGCATATATTCGCCGTCGAATTATATATATAATTCCGACGTGGGAGCCAATTTCAAAATTCCTGGAAAAGCGCTGTTTGACAAAGAAAAATGTCGAGCTTAATGTGACTCATTCCCGTAGTGGGCATGTTGGAAAAAGTTGAAGAACCAATAGGAATAGAAACATTTTGGTAGGCATGGTATTTTGGTATTTTGTAGAAACAAACAGCGAAGCTAGAAAACTCAGAATGTGCTTTAATAGTCTAAAGAAGGTTATCGAAACACCAACTGCAATTCAGGATCCTGTCGCACAGGTTATGCAGGGCATCACATCCTTCTGCACATCACAAGTTCTCCGTCTCCGAAACCGCTTAGTACTGAGGCAGCCTTTCCCAGTGAGTGTCGTGCTCTTTTGAATTCCGGCTAGCAGATTCATTTAATCACAGCTCGTTTTGCAAAACAGTTTCAGCTTAGGCAATCTAAGTGTTCTGTTTATTTATCTGGTATTGGGGCCTTGCTTCCAGTTGAAACTGAAGGGATTCCCTGTGTAAATAAATGCCTATTAGGCTAAATGCGTTTAAATGCGACAATGGAATCCGGGTATTAAACGCACTCAACTAACGTTCAAATTGGGGTTTGCAGACTGGGGCATAAACGGTTAAGTCTAGTTGCTATCAACGTCTGTCAGGAACTTCTCCAGATTGATACAGCACCCATATGCTAAACTGAAGGCAAGGGGAGGATGATGATGGCAAGGCACTGGCGAAACGCCGACAACTGCGTCATCTCCAAAGCGACTTGGCCTGATCTCAATGCAAAAAGGACAATTTCTACACTTTACCAAGAAAAGGATTCGAGCCATTATAGGGGTATTAACGAAGCACTGTACCATAGGGAAAATGGCAGCAAGGTACAACGCTCTATACCACGACTTCTGCAGAAGCTGCGTAGAGGGGGAGGCACCAGAGACAGGGACTGCATTTAAAAGGAGCAGAACTTCAATCTCAGCAAGGATATCGACTCCGACCTTAGCGTGTATCATAATGGGATAGAAGGCCTCGTCTCTAAAGAAAAACCACTCACCTAACCTCCGTTATCTGATGTGTTTAGTTATTTCCAGATCTCGCAAATAACCGTCAACCGATTTTTCTTATGCAGTCTGCACATTCACAAAACAGAAAAAAATTTTACAAACACAACACTCTGAGCAAAAGTCTTTTTTCGTTTCGCTCGCGGATTTCGGCCCAATAGGTCGCACAAAAACGACTCTGTAAGAAATATTGATTTGAGCCCTCACAAGAAAGCTGATTTTAAAAAACTACTGTTTGCTAAAATTGTTTATTCCCGCTGCGTGCGGGAAAGAGAAGAGAAGAGGCTTGGTCATGACTTTATCTAGGAAAAAAGCAAGATACATTTTACATACAAAGGTTTAGATTTTGTTAAAACTTAAACTTAACAATTGTCGTTAGCAAAGAATTTAAGTTTTCTGCGCTTAGAGATCTGCACATAAAGCGGAACTGACCTTCGCTCACAGTCAAACGTATACATACACAAAATCACTTTTGTTGAATGTGACTGATCAAATAACTTATAAATAACTTATTTCCTTAAACGAACGAGCTTTTCTTTTTCATGAAAAAACAGTGTTTATTTCGAAATTTTTCTTTTAGAATTCTAAATCTTTAATCTAAATGGCCCGACTTGGAAAATTCGAATGAGGCAATAGATACTGACCGAAAACCATTTACAGCCTAATAACTGACCTCCACCATGTCTCAAAGTTCCGTGACAAACTTCATTTTTAGAGCGAGCCAGTTTTAGGATTAAGAAATTTTTTTTATTGTTTTCAACATTAAAGATTAAAGAAGGAACGCTATAAGCGAGTGCTCCGACTTAGAAAACTTTAAGTCCCACGAAATCAATAAGGGGCTGATGAAAAAATTGACATTCACACAATCACTTAAAAAACTATGATATTTTAGAGTTTTACCAATAATTGTTTATAAATGTAAAGTTTATTGCATGCTAAAAATGTAATTTCGATAAGGTAGTGTTAATGTTATTATATTTTAGTTTATTCAGCTGGAACCATGCTTGGAACTAGGTCGGGTTTTGTATCATCTGGATCCAGGCTTAAGCAGTCTCCAAAATATTGCTCCATAGAAGAGTATACATGTTCAAGTACACCATTTAATTCGTGACCTTCATCTGCATAAGTCTTTAAAAATCTTTAATAAGCATACCATATAAGAATATTTAACATTTTACCTGATATCGAAAAAGAATATTAGCGCTTGTTAATGATTTAGCTAATTGCACTCCGTGAACGAAAGGGGCAGTTGTGTCTGCTAATCCATGAATTAAAAAATATGAATTTGATTTTATTAGACGTGCTCGCTGAGTAGCATCTGCTTCAACATATCCTCTATAGTTCTCATTAGGAAGACCCAATATACGTTCAGTAAAGGCTGAATCTAGAAAATATATTTTTTTATTGTTTCATCAATTATTATAATAAAATTGCAAAGAAGACGGTCCTCCACAAGTTATCTTTAATATAAAGAGAACATTTAAATATGTTTTCACTTTTTTTTTTTAAAGCCGTAACAAATCTGTCATTTTTATACTTAGTTATAACAGCACAAACATCATTTCAGCAAACCAGATATCTTTTAAATACAATTAAAAACCGCTTAAATTTTTAGGTTTGCGTGAGCATACCAAGAGTCGCAATCGTAACGCGAAGATTCTAATAGTTTCTTAGATAAATTTACATTTACATCATGTTTATTTAGGGGGTTACATGGGTTTTATGGTTTCAAAAAATCGAATTTGATTTATTTATTTATCAAAAACTACAATGTCTCTAGAATGTTTTCCTAATTTCAAGTTGAACCGAGTGATAGTTTTGAAGATACAACTTTGAAAAGTTGTGCGCTCCCCACTTTCACTGCCACCTGAAACTTGAAACGCTTTTTCGAAACTGTGTTTTCATAGTTGGTGGGGGTTACAAGGTTTTGATGAAGGCTTTATTTTTTCAATTATACCTTTTTAAAAAAATTAAAAGGGACTAAAAATTTTCACTGAAATCCGAATTTTTTTGTATAAATGTCTGTGTCTGGGCTAGGGCCAAGTTGTATGCGCCTGAATTCCCCCTCCCAATCTCTCTCTCATCACATAATCTAATTTTCTTATCGTCGCTGAGAGGCATAAACTACAGATGCGACTTCAAAATTTGAAGTTAGTGCTCTTTGGGTCAAACTGGAGTACGAATCGATCTCCATTGGATTGTCGTTGGCACAAACCAATTTCGCATTCCTAACCCAAATCGATTTCTACTGTAAACAGTTATAAAACAGAGGCTCTGGCCTAATGCCACCCTTACTAAATAAAAGTTTGTAACGTGAATTAAAATTTAACGCCGTATTTATTATTCTCTGGGATCAGAGTAGAACTCAAATAGGCCTAGAAAACGCTTTTGGCTTTAATATTTGGTAACGCCGACGTGATTGTTGTAGAACTAGCATATTTTACATAAAAGTGAATTGCTAAATTAAAGTTAAAAACTTAACCCCCGCGGAAGCGAACCCGATAGTTTTCTATACACACACGCATAAATGCTCATTGGTAGCTTGCGGTTCTCGTTCTCTTTTTTGTGCGACCCTTCGGTGCTAGTGAACATGCAAGACCACAAGCCAAATGACGTAGAGGAAAACAAGGTGTATTTTTACAAGGCAAAGGCACTCTTGTTATATAACATAGTGGTTTCTCTACAGAAAACAATTGATGCTGCTACGATCGGTGTTATGTGTGAAAGTCGTCTTAATGTTTATCTCAACTATTTTGAAAAAATGACTAATACCTTTCATCAGTACCAATCCTCCATAGAAGAGGTGGACAGCACAGCAGTTGCGAACGGTATAAGCAACGATTTTGCCTCTATTCTCAACTCTTCACATGGACGACGTGAGGGATCTTAGACCAAAGTTTCGTGTACCAGAGATTAAACTGCCAACTTTTCGTGGTTGGTATACAGAAAGGTCTGACTTCCACGCATTTTTCAGTACGGTTATTGATCAGGAGCCCCTGTTATCCATATTTGGATGGACCTGCGCTGGATTCCATAAAGTCATTGGAAATAGTTGAGGATAATTATGAAATATTAAATAGTCGTTTCAACAATAAACTTTTAATATTTCAGACACATATCGCTAAGGTTTTGAAACCGGAAAAGGTTGAGAATGGTTCTGGTGAGCAGCTGCGTGCTTTTTCCGACAAACTTAATTCTCATATGCGAGCACTTAAATCTCTTGGCACTATGGAGGACATAGCTGGATGTATCGTTATGCAATCGCATATATTCGCCGTCGAATATAATTCCGACGTGGGAGCCAATTTCAAAATTCCTGGAAAAGCGCTGTTTGACAATGAAAAATGTCGAGCTTGGTGTGACTCATTCCCGTAGTGGGCAGGTTGGAAAAAGTTGAAGAACCAATAGGACTAGAAACATTTTGGTAGGCATGGTATTTTGGTATTTTGTAAAAACAAACTGCACTCGTTTCAGGAATTTGCCTCCTTCTTTTCTAGCGAAGCTAGAAAACTCAGAATGTGCTTTAATAGTCTAAAGAAGGTTATCGAAACACCAACTGCATCACATCCTTCTGCACATCACAAGTTCTCCGTCTCCGAAACCGCTTAGTACTGACGCAGCCTTTCCCAGTGAGGGTCGTGCTCTTTTGGATTCCGGCTAGCAGATTCATTTAATCACAGCTCGTTTTGCAAAACAGTTTCAGCTTAGGCAATCTAAGTGTTCGGTTTATTTATCTGGTATTGGGGCCTTGCTTCCAGTTGAAACTGAAGGTTCCGCCAGCATTGTTATTCAATCCAGAAAATCCGAACACAACCGAGAATCAACCTCTGCTATCCCTTGATGCGACTGGATAATTTCCTCTAACATTTTTCAAATCTTTTTCAAAACATCTCAGCGTGTTGATCTACTTAAAGGAGCAAGCCTTTTCTATGATATACTCTGCGTAGGCCAAATCAAACTAAAAAGCGGGATTCCCTTGCTGCGAAAAACTTGCTGGTGTGTGAGGTTACTGGATTTGGACATTATTCCCGCAGTTCTGTTCTTCTGGCAGCTGCCAGCTACACGGACGAATATCAACCCAAAAAAAAAAACAGTTTGGACAAGCTAGTTAAAAGTTTCTGATAGGTTGAAAATTGTTACGGGCCAGCAACTGTTGCAACAAAGGAGGAGCTTGCGTGTAAAGAGCATTACAAGGTCCCTTTTTCCAGATTGCCTACCGGAGAATTATGCGCACAGCTACCTCTCAAACTTCGTACAAGCCTGCTTCGTGATTCGTATCAGCAAGCGTATCGCAGGTTTCTTCATTTGGAGCGCAAGGAGTATATTGATTTGCACCACATATCTCTTGTGGGAAACCACTTAGTTGATCAATGTGAACTCTACCTACAACTACCACAAAGCTTTGCGTAGTGTTTGATGGTTCGACCTTTTCTTCAACAGGGTATTCGCTAAACGACATATTGATGTCAGGTCCCACTTTTAAGCCAAAATGATCTACTACATTGCTTCGTTTCCGTTCGGTCACTGTCTCTCTAACTGCGGACATTTGCAAAATGTAATGTTGTGTAGGTGTATCTACTGAAGATAGCTTCCTGCAATGTATACTCTGGCGAGATTCTCCGCATGATGAGCTAAAGACTTTCAAATTGGACACAGTCTATGCAACAATATGCAGTGGATGAGAAATCAACCTATCCGATTGGCTCACAAGTCATGCTTCTCGATTTTTACGTAGATGACTTGCTTACTGGGGGAAATTCATCAGTGGAGGTGAAGAAAATTATCCGACAAGTAACAAGCCTTCTTGCTCATAGAAATTTTAAAATTCGAAAATGGTGGTAGAACAATGTTGCAGTAATAAAAGAAATTTCTACAGAAGATAAGGAACCATTCGAAAGGTTCGATAATGGAAGCGACATTACTAAGGCGTAAGGATTGGCTTGGAATCCGTTTTGTTCTCGTTCTTCCCCAGTCAAGTTCCGAAAAAACATACAAAACGATCTGTTTTGTCGACTATAGCTCGATTTTATGGCCCGCTTGGCCTTATAGGGCCAGTCATAACCAAATCTAATATTTTTCTTCAACAATTATGGAAAGAAAAACTTCTTTGGGCTGAGAGCCCTCCAACTGCTTTAAGCACTTCTTGAACAGAATGCAGAAAATATTATTTCCTAGATTGGGATTCCTTCAAAAAAACAGCCTTCAAAAACAGGGATTTTGGAGCTTGTGTATATGCTGTTTCCTTCAACAACAATGAATTAAAGGCCAACTAACTATGTTTGAAGTCTATTACTGTACCTAATTTGAAGCTATGTGGGACCGCCCTACTCGCACAATTAATACATTAAGTTTCCCTGATGTTTTTTAGCGTCGTTTTAGCTTGGATCAACAGTCAACCTTTCAACTTCAATGTATTTGTTGCGAATCGTCTTGCACAATACAGGAGCTCACAGCTAAAATGACTTGGCTGCATGTTCGAACAAATCTTAATCCGGCTGATTTACTGTCCCGGGGAGGACCACCAGCCGAACTTATCAGCTCGGCATGGGCCGTCATACTTAGCAAAAGACAGTATGACGCTGAAGACTCGGAAAATAATCCTATTGGGACGAGGCACTTCTATGTTTTTGGTAGAGAATTCCAAATCTGTCAATTCATTCGCAAAAATGCAACAAATCTTTGCATTTGTTTGCTAATTTTTTCACAAGCGAAAATAAAAATTAACAGTAGATGTTGTTCGTCTGGGAACAAAATTGTTTCTGCGATTGACACAGCGGTCTCAATTCGAAAATGAGATTAGGATTCTGAAATCAAGCAAGTGTATCAACCTATCAAATCTGATTAGAGAAAGGTTTTTGGATGAAAGCCGATTGTTACGTGTGGGTGGACGACTTAGAAATTTTACTCTAGATTTTGCAGCACGACATCCCATAATAATACCCAGGAAGCAGCCCATTACTTCGATTCTTATAAGGCATTTTCATGAAACGCATCTGCACGCAGGACCTCAATCGCTCTTGGTTATTATACGACAGACTTTCTGGCCAATAGGCGGGCGGAAATCTGATCTACCCGCGGAACGTATGACCGAATCGTGAGCGTTCGTAATAACCGGCGTGGACTATTGTGGACCAATCTTGTACAAGTCAGAATTTCGCTATCGACAACCGATAAAATGCTATTTTAGTATTTTTATATGCTTTTCTACTAAGACAGTTTACAAAAAGCTCGTAAAGAACCTCTCAGCACAAGCATTCCCTTCAGCCTGAGGCGATTTATATGAACTCGCGGGCGTCAAAGCAGGATATTGTCTGATAATGAATTTTGTGGAAGCAAAAAACGAGCTAGCCGAGTTGAAATCTGATCTACCCGCCGAACGTATGA